TCGCCCTTCCTCTGACCCCATTCTGCTGGCAGAGGATGTATGGTTGAGTGGGGTTAGCAATTGCTACTGTGCATAAGATAGTCATGTAGAGTTTTTATTTTAGTGACGACACAATTATGTCCAATTGAATTGACATAGCTGATGATCCAGAGGGAAGATTTGTTTTTGAGAATGTTAAAATTGGATTCCATTTTTACTTTGGCGTGTGTCTGTGGCCCAAAGCAGACAATCCAACATATAATCTTTTTTTTTCTTTTCTCTTTTTTTTTGTTTTGTTTTTTTTTTGGTAAATTTCTCTGAAATAAGAAATGCCCATAAATTTTGGAGGCAGCTTGGAATGAATGTTTGGATACTGTCCATGCCCTGCTAGCCACAAAACCTACTTCTAAGGAAGTAATTAAAAGTTGTATGTCAGACTGGGTTTAGTAGATATTTGGTGAATAGTGAATCTAACAGTAAGGGATTATAGTTTTTCTTAATGTCTCAATCAGTATATTCTAGAATTGCTGACTTTTTAAAATTCTAAAAGCATGATTGACTCAGTGGTCAATGCTTCTGGTTCTATTACTCTTTCAGACTTGGCTGAGGTAGAGCTTCAGCTCTTCCTTGCAGATAGATTAGCTGTAAATAATTGCTGGTGACTCAGCACCTCCCTGTTGAATTATTATAAAATTGAAGCATTCTTTCTAAAGGAGTTTAAAAATTTTATAGAGCTTAATCGACCTACTGCTTCCTCTGCTTCGATATTATAGGAAACTACTAAAGCCTTCTTATGAAGGCATATAACATTATATGATTCTGCAAGAAAGAAAAATCTGGGATACAGAAATAGATATTTTAAAAAGAAAAATTGAGTCTTTAGATGAGGATTATATCACAGATCCTTTGCCTGATAAACTGTGTAGTCTTACCAATATGAGATGAATTAAATAAATTACTATCCCAAGAGGTAGAGTATGTATTTTACTGAATGTTTCTAGAGAAGAAATAGATAGGTTTCCAAACTTTCTAACCACACAACAAATTTCAGAGCTGGAGAGGGAAATTTTAGAGGCTCTTTCCTTGTTAGATTAAATAACCTTGGCCTTAAAGGATATGAACAATAACACATTTTTTAGGCAGTGGTGGATTTCTTCTGGAATTATATAAAAAAATGTAAGGATACATTGTTAACTCAATTATTAAATGTATATAATAGTAAGAACCAAGGTACACTACCAACCACTTTACATGAAGCTATGATTTCTGTAATTCCTAAAGCTGACAAGGATTCTATGAATGGTTCTAATTACAGACCAATTTCTTTAATTAATGTAGACACCAAGATCCTAGCTAAAACTTTATTTATCACACTGATTGGAAGAGGTCCTTCTAAAGTTAATTCACAGAACTCGAATAGGATTTATCCAATAAAGGCACAGATCAGATTAACATACATCAGGTTTTAGATATAATGGCAGCAATTCAAAATTCCGAAGTCCCTATGGGTATAAATAGATGTTGCCAAGTTAAGTGGACTAGATGTGGTGGATTGTGTCCTTCCATAGTTAATCTGCTTCATTGGCTGAAACACACGTCACCCATTGTCCTGCATCAGGCAAGGGCTCGATCCCGTGGGACAAAGTGCAATGTGTTATCCACTTACAACCCACTTCAGAGATACCCTGGGGTGCATCTCTGTAAGAGGAAAAGACCAGGGTTTACACCAACACTAGATATATACCAACAGTAACTATTATTCACCCTTATCTTAGGCACAGGCCTAATCCTCTGTGGTCTCCCGTTCAGTGTGCAGCCCCTGCCCCTCAACAGGCAAAGGAGGACTCAATAACAACACACAGGTTAATCATCAATTCAACAACAGGAATACCTGGCAGTGACAGGACAATAATTGAACAGAACACAATAAGTTTACAGCACATGTGCAAAAATAACCAATACAATAGATTCAGACATAAAAAGTTCACAGTCCTCTCAAATAGCAACAATAATGATGCAATATTACAAACAGAATCCCAATGGCGTAAATAACCAGGCTGCAATCAAAGGCATGGCAGTTGTGCCCAAAGGAGAAATGGCAACCCAGGGAAAGGTCCCATTTCATAATAGAACATCATTATCTTCTCCCAAATTGCTCAACTAGGAGGGGCCCATAACCATGACACCACCCTTAACAAACAGGAGCCCTAGACTCCCCTCTGTGCCCAGGGGTGAATAATCCCCATTCCTCAGGGGCTTCCCCTTGATCACCCACAGTGGGGAAGGCCCCTCCTCTCCTGTGGGAATCCCCTTTCCCTGTGTAACTCATGACTACCAGTGTCTTTCTTCACGGGTTGACCCGTCCAGTTGCTGCTCATGGCAGGAAGGCCCAAGCTGACTTCTGCAGTCACTGGGGTCTATTGGCCTTCTCTCAGCCCACCATGCACCACTCTGTGCACTGGGACCCATACCACCTTGTGCACCTATGGTGACCTGTCAGTTCTAGGGCCCCAGGCTTCAGAGGCCCAATCTTGCATGCCCTGGGAATGGGAATTCCTGGGGTATGCAGGTTCAGGACCCTGAAGCCCCTAGAATGACAACCCGAGCAGCTGTAGGCTGAAGAAAACCTAAAAGAAAGCTACTACAATAAAGCAGCATAATTTGATATTGCCTCAGTTGCAGCCACAAATTGGGGGCATTTGTGGTGTGACAGGGGTACAGACATCTGTTTGCTTGGGCTTTTTACTGCTTTAAAAAATTATGGAAGCACAAAGGCAGCATTTGTTTCTGCCTTGAGGCTCTTTTCACATTTGATGCAGAGAAGGCCTTTGGTTGTTTCTTGGAGGTACCTTTTTGTGTATTACAAAGAGATGGAGTTTGGTAAATAATTCTTAAGGTAGATATAGCTACTATATACAAGTCTCACTTTAAGAAGTGTGACCAATAATATTTTATCTGAACCATTTATCTTGCAAAGGGGACTCAGCAAGGTTGTCTACTATCTCTCCCTTGCATTTAACACAGGAACCATTGATTACTGACATAAGAAATAAGGATGATATAATAGGTGTTGTGGTAGGAGACTGTGAACACAAGACTGGTGTCTGCAGATGATACACTAATACTCCTATCACAGTCTGAGAGATCAGTTCCTGTCCCATTAGTCAACCAGTTCAGCAATCTGTTGGTTATGAAATTAAATGGACTAAATTTGAGTATATGACAAAGGATATATTTATTTAGCAAATGGTTGTTTCCCTGGCAATTAGCATGCATACCGTGTTTGGATATTAAAATATCCAAGAATATCAATGGTATCAGTTGCTAAAACTTTCAGAAGCTTTCCCTATGTTACATTACAGGATCTGAACAAATGGCTCCGTTAAGCAATATCTTTGTAGAGGCATGTTAATATTTTTAAAATGAAGGTCTTATCTTATCTAATTTTCCTATTACATAATCTACCCAAAATCATAATGAAATGTAATCTAGAATATTAGGGTTGAAAGGGACCTCAGGAGGTCATCTGCTCCAACCCCCTACACAAAAATGGACCACCCCCAAGCAGACGATCCCAGCCAAGATTTTGTCTACCTGGGTCTTAACCTGTACAACCTCCCTGGAACAGCCTGTTCCAGTGTTTTATTACTTTCCTAGTGAGAACATTTCCCCTAATATTTAACCTAAACTTTCCTTGCTGTAACCATTTCTCCTTGTCCTGTCATCTGCCACCACTGAGAACAGTCTAACTCCATTCTCTTTGTAACCACCCTTCAGATAGTTGAAGGTTGTTATTAAATCCTGCCCCCCCCTCAGTCTTCTCTTCTCCAGACTAAATAAACCCAGTTTCTTCAGCCTTGCTTCCATAAATTATGTTCCCCAGTCTTCTAACCATTTTTATTGCCCTCCTCTGGACTCTCCAATCTGTCCACATTCTTTCTGAACAGGGGGCCCAACACTGGACACAGTACTACAGATGTGGCCTCACCAGTGCTGAATAAAGGGGAATAATCACATCCCTTGATCTGCTTGCAACACTCCCACTAATGTAGTCCAGTATGCTGCTAGTCTTCTTTGCAACACAGGCATGCTGTTGATGCGTAGTGTAATCCCCCAATTCTATTTTGTGAAAATCAACTAAATATTCAACAGGTTTCTGTGGTGGGAGGATAAAAAGGAATGGCTTTCATCAAAAAAGCTACTGTCAATTGAAATGGGTGGCTTTCATCTTCCAAACCTTTGTCAATATTACAATGCCTTCTTAATAAGCCTGTACATGTAATGGCCTACTGATATGAGTGGAAATTGAATGGGCACTTATTTTTTTCTTCCATTTTCAAGCTCTCCTTATCATAATCTTCCTAAGCAACCTTGTTGCACATGACTTTTAAGCAGCTCCTGGAGCTCTTAGCCTCTGGAATGTCCACACATTAACACCTGAAACTTGTTTTAAGCACACTTCAGTTGGCTTAAAGTTACACACTCCACGGCAGGTTTATCTCTGATCTGTGTTACCCAGTTCACGTTCCATTAATGTGTGGCCACACCCCATAGATGAGCCACTCAAGTTGCAATCTTCCAGTATCCCCAAGATGCAATGTTCACTCTTCCACCCTCCTGTTTTATGTGGACAGACTTTCTATCCCCTGAACTCTACAGCCTAGGGGGCAGTTCTGGCACCAAGTCAACTCCCCTGCTGTCACTGGAAATATGACCTTCCCACTCATAGGTGTGCAACATTTTGCTAACAGCAAGCACATTCCAACTAGCCAGTCACCTGGATATTAGAGTGGGTCAGAATGAGCTGGGTCTTCCTTCCCTGGGCTGAAGCAGAGCTCCCCCAAAAGTGCCTTCCCTCACCACTCCCAGATCCCAGTTACCCAGGGAAGCATGACCAGCACCCCCTCCCCCATACTCCAATCCCAATCCGAAATCCCTATTAAAACATGAAACCTTTTTTCATAGGTGCACCCCCTATCCCATTAACTCTCTGTCTCCCGGCTATGTGTTCCTGTCTCCCCAACACATCTCTCACACACCCCTAATGAGAGCAGGGATAGAAGCCTGTCCTGGCTCACCAGCCCTCTAATAGCAACTCACAGCTATAGCTCCTAGTCTGGCCCCTGTTTGCCAGGCCTCTAGTGGTAAGTCACAGTTGTGCAGATCAGCAACAGACAGAGAGGGTTTTTAGCCTTAAGTGGGACTGCTCTAAATTCAAGCTAGCACTAACAGTGATCAACATTGGAGCAGCTTAAAGTTCAATGTATAACAAGGCCCTTATCTCTAATTCCTACATTCTTTTGTAACACAACAAGGTTGGAAGAATCTAGCAAACTTACTGCAATTTCATTACATCATAAAGGCTCTATTTTGGGCTATCCCTTTATGACGTATGGAACATGTAAACTGAGAGATGTGGACGAGGTGAGTGGATAAAGGTGCTGTGTATGTAGAACAGCTTCTAGTAGGAAATCATATTAAATCCTTTTCAAAGTTATGTGTTTACTATGGCCATCTAAAAACAGTTGTATGGCAATATATAATGTTGCATCAAGGATTATAAAATCAGTTTGGACATGATGCTTTAGATGTATCAAATATTCCAGATATATATCAAGGCAAATATATATATTTGCTTTGAAATTTGCTTCTCTTTCCTATCCTGTGCTATCAGAGACTATCCCAGCAGGATGTGGGGCCCAGGGAAAAGCAGCCTGTGTGCCCCCGCCCCCACTTCCAGTCCCATGGCACACTTACGCCGGGCAGTGAAAGCCCCAGCACACCAGATGTGGCAAGATGGGAGGTGGCCAGAACTTCTGGCCAGAACAAGCAAAAAAGCTGTCCAGCCCACCGGGCAGTTGGGTGGACTAAATTTCAGCCATGGCCTATCTTCCCAGCTCTGTGGGCCCCCCCCCATATTATGGGGCCCAAGGCAGTTACCCTGATTTGTGCCCCCCTGTGTGTCATCATTCACATAGCAGACCTGATACAAGCTATTTAAGACTGAAATGATATGGAGACATAGGTATTCAGATGACAGAATCCCAGTGGAAATCAGCAATTTACAATATTCTAACATAAACAACTCATCTTACACTTCATCTTATACAGCAAAAGATCATTTTTTGTCTGCACTGGGTACCTGCAAAACTTAAAATATATATATTTACGGCCAGTAGCTGCATGTTGGCGATTTGATGCATTGCAGGAAATGCTTGGTCACGTTTTGATAATTCCCTATTACTAATTTTTTTGAAAAAATAGTTACAGTTAACATAGTTTTGAACACAGGACCGATACCTTTGGCAAACCTGTATGCTTTTTGGGTATATCCCTAAGGGATTCAAACTGAATCTTTCCCAGATTGCACTCTTAGAACAGGTTTTATTAGTGACATGAAGGATTAGATTGCTTCACTGGAAGAGTAGGAGATCTCCAAAGATCAAAATCTGGGGCAATACAGTGGCATAACTGATATCTATGGGAAGTTATGTTTAGCTTGCTTAACAGCATTGAAATATTTAGTGAAATTTGGAAAGAATTTTTAGATTATTCTGACAATTAAAATAGTCCTTGCACACTTCCCTTTTCTTCTGTTCTTCCTTCTTCCCTCCTTTTTCTTGTTTCTCTCTCTTTCCCTTTTATTACTTATGACAGAAATGTACATAGTGC